TCTCATCACTTCTTAGCCTAGTCCTATCCCTTTGGAGCACTGGAAGCACTCCACCTTGCACATCTTCCTCCCTGGGGTATTTGAAGGCAACTTTTATGTCTCTCCTTATTTTCCCATCTCCATGTTAATTAAATATTACCAGTTCTTTTGTTTTTTTCTTCCTTCATCATAACCACAATGAAACCAGTTCTTTTGATTAATTCTCATTTGGCATGGTTTCCAGATGACACGAATAAATTCAAGGTGCAGTTTAACTTAAAATTTTTCCTATGTGGAATAGAGAGATCCGAAGGTTGTTTATTTCTCATTTATTTGCTCCTAGAGTTGACACAATTGGAGGGACTGGCCAGCAGCCAATGGTGCACCCCCTCGAGCTCTATGCTAGCTCCCCTCTTCCAATAACTGATCTCAGACACACATACCAGTCATGGGGGTGGTTCTGTGATAACAAGATGGGTAAACGAACCTCATCTCCCTGGCCACAATGATTGGCTGAAAGAATAGTCACAAGTTCCATGCTGAACTTAACAAAGTCTTTCCCCAGGATTTCAAACTGGAACTTGGAAAATGCCTGCTTTCCTTCAGGCTTGTGGGCTGTTAGATATGAAGACCATTTACCCATCTCATGAAATGAGCCAATTTGATAGAATGAGAGCAATATGCAAAGGAGTACAGGAATAAAGACCCTAAAGCTCTAGTTCCAGTCATTCCTAAAACCACCTGTGCCCTACCTTTCCTGGGATATAAATATGTAAGCCAATAATCCCCCTCTGGCTGAAATAAGTTTGAGTTAGGTTTGTATCACTTGCAAAAGAGAGAGTCTTATTTAATACAGTATCCACAGGGTTCCAACCATCCTAACAGAATCGATGCAATATGAGTCATAAAAGAGAAAAAATTGCCATCCCATCCTACAAAAGGTTTTGGATAGAATATCCTTCCATCATTATTTATGAATGTGAGCATATACTCACTTACCAAAGATTAAGGTCAATCTTCCCTGATAGCCTGGGATACAGAGGGCTGACAATGTTCAAAACTCCATCCCTAGAACTACCATAGTGCCTGGCACATGGTAATTATGTGCTTAAGGCACTCTTCACTATACTTTCCATAGTAAACAGAAGACAGTTAGCAAAACATTGAATAAATTATGAAAATGAAGGCATGAATTCACTGGAGAAACCTTAGGTATATCATTTCACATTTTAAAGGTTAGATTACCCATAAAAATTATAAGAATAGATTATCTTTCCAGTCTTTTTTTAGCATAAAATGCTCTGATTCTGTACCTACTCGACAATGATAAAAAACGAATCCTCTAAAGCTCTGGAGGCCAGGTACTGTGGCTCATGCCTGTAATCCCAGCACTTTAGGAGGCCAAGGCAGAAAGATCACTTGATGCCAAGAGTTCAAGACCAGCCTGGGCAACACAGGGAGACCCTGTCTCTACAAAAAACAGAAAAATTAGCTGTGCACGGTGGCACAGCTTCATGGTAGCATGAAGTCCCAACTACTTGGGAGGCTCAGGCAAAAGGATTGCTTGAGCCCAGAAGTTTGATGTTGCAGTGAGCCATCATGACACCACTGCACTCCAGCATGGCCATCAGAGTGAGACCCTGTACCCCCCTCAAAAAATTAAAAAAATAAAGCTCTGGGTCTGGATATGCAGATAAAGGAGGACATACCATATTAAAGAAGGAAGCATAAAGACAGTGACAAAGAATAACTTACCAAAGAAATAATTGGGGGGTGAGGGAAGCAACACAGTAATAATGAGAAGAAATCATCAGTAATATGATAGAAGAGGTCATTCAGATGTGACATCTGCCTATCTTATTCTAACCAATTTCTGTGGTCAGAAACTACCTCTGAGCCAGATTCAAACTGCCAGCCTGAAACCTTGCCCCTTCATGGTCCATATAATCTATATGATGGTTCCTTCAACTCCACCATATATTTCTTTTCAGAGTTAGTTTCCCACTTCTGCCTTCGGTCCTAGATGCTCCCACCTCCTCTCTTACCATTCCAGATAGTTTTTCTTGTCACCAACTGAAAGTATATCCAATTATATTGTGTGCCCCATCCCTGTTCCCCATCCAGCTCCCTGCAATAAATGACGCCAAATGTCCATAATTTATTGCTTAAGTTTGGAACTTTGGACTCTCAGTACAAGTAATCATAAAATGGCATCTCTGTAAGCTCAGGTGACCCATTTATATGAAGCTGTTCTAAGAAACTGATCTCAACTCTCTTTGGGAATGGACACCTTGATTAGAGAAAATATTATTATAATTAACAACTGCTGTCACAGTATTACTATATGTCCACATATTAAGTACTATATACCAGTATATTATACTATGCATATATACTATGCTAAGCATCTTGCATGCATTGGCTCATTTAGTTCTCACAACATCCCTATAAGGGATATCCTACACAGCTAGGCAGTACAAGAGCCATACTCATCTGACTTCTTGTTCTTATCTACTACGTGATCCATAAGGGCACTGATCCCTGAGAAAATGCAGAGAGGATGCTTTGGGGGGACCAAAAGCAGAGAGACTGGGAAACTAAAATCAGGGTCTACTTATCAATTTTGCTTAGAGTCAGCCCTATTTGAAGTAGAACCTTGTTCCCATTATGTAGCAATAGATTATCTGCCATTTTGCATTGAGGAAATGTACCCTCCATTATCCAGGCTAATCTAGTTGACTATAGAATGCTGTACACAGACATTACAATGACGGACAACTAATTCAATCTTCTCTGCTAGGAAAATGCTACCATTAATATCTCTTCAACTTTTTCCCTATAGCTCTTGATGCAGGGCACTTCACATATGTCACAAGTATTCCATCCTTCAGTATCTAGAGAAGAAAAGTAATTGAGAATTACTGGGAAGAGAGAAAGGATGAAGAGGAATAGAAAGAAGGATTATAAAATGTGGTGCAGACAAAATGCTATCACAAAATTTTTAAAAAATAAAATAAAACTAGTCCAGGGTGATTGATTATCCAATACCTTGTGATTCAGGGAGAAATGAATGTTTACAGTCTATTGCTAAACAAAGAAGACAATTTGATCATGCACTAGAAATCACATGTTTAAGTAGCCAAAGTGGAATTTTCCTCCATCACAGAGTAGAGAGATATTAAGTATTTCCCATAGAAGTGACACCTTACTATTAAATACTTGTAATCCATGCAAGATCTGTAGCAGCAGCATCATTTCACCACTAAGCAAAAATCCAATTATTTTTAGATTCCACATCCTCCTCTAATTGCTCCCAAATCTTCATCCATTCACTAAGACTTTTATGCACTTTGGTAAAAAAAATAATAATAAAAATAATGCCAGCCCTTCCTGGAGAGTAATCGGATGTTCCTATGCAATAATCGAAGTGTCCAGTTTTAGGGAAATGGAAGCTAGGAAGCAGACTAGCAAACTCTTTGGGGTCCATCAGGTACTAGTATGCAAGCTCTAAATACAAGGACTACAATGTTGGATGAAATGTAGCAGAGATTGTCTCTCGCTGAAATAATGGTGTTATGTGCTAGGAAGTTTAGAAGTAATATTTAACCAAAAAACTGTATTAAGCTAAAAGAGAACAGCAGGATCTAAAATAATACACTATGAAGAATATTTAAAAGATCCTTAAAATACACTAATGCCCTCATTCCAAGTCCAACCAGTTTTTTATTCTAACCAATTTCCATGAAACAGGAAAAGGAGCAGGGAAGAGCGAAAGTATTTGAAAAACTGCCAAAGTAAAAAAATCCCATAATGAAATTTTGCTCATTCTGGGAGAAATGAAGTAGAATTAGATGCTTCAGTGGTGGTGAATTCCAGGATATGGGTGGCTTCCAGTAAATGAAGCCTTTCCATAATGTCAAATGTAAAAGCTATCTGATACCATCATATTGAGCTTGAGCTTTTAAATTCTTATTCCTCACACCAAATTGTTTGAAACCTTTAAGATAAAAACTTCAATAAACTAGTGTTCCAAGCTTTTAATATGTTAGTCCCTTGAGCAAGCATGTCAGATTAATCTTTAAATTGCAATGGGCAGAAAGAATATTCAACCAAATTCTTAAGCCCATGCCTCCTCTCAAAGGATGTTAATAATACAAGCAGTTTTATTGGCTATTAAGATTTCTAACTTTGCTAATTCTCAACTGTATTACTATTTTTAAAGGGGCGGGGAGGAAAGCCATTCCATCCTGAAAGCAAGGGATTTTACTTAATTTTTTTTTATCTTTATTTCCACTTAGCACCTAGCACACTGCCAGGCACACAGTAGGCATTTAACAAAGACTTTTGGAATAAGTTGACGGAATGGCCTAGGGGGAGAGTGGAAATCTTGCTGAGAACAGCATGAGTCCAAATCTTGGCATTGCTGGACAACAAAGACTATTTCCAGAATTAGGGTTATGGAGGCAGCACGTGTATCTTCAAAGCGGCACCAAGAGGACTGATTGTTTCCTGAGCTGGAGTGCAGCCACCCGAGAGAGCCGCTTACGGAGGGATTATACTCGTCTCCAGCGTCACCGCGCCTGGAAAACTCCTGCCCTGCCTCTCTGCTCTCAGCTCTCCCTGCCGTGCACCGGGTTTGGGTTTCCACTCGCAAAACTTGAGTACGAGATTCGACCTCGCCGATCTAACCCTACCCCTCGCCATTCCATGGGGGTTTTCTAGCGTCCGCTAGGAGAGAGGCCACGGCGTGCCAGGCACCGGACAGGATACCCGCGATAGCTCCGGACACCTTCCAGGGTGAAAGGGGGGTGGGGGGAAGCGGTGGGGGCTAGGGGAGGAGTGGGTTCAAGACCTAGGCACTCCCCTGAGGTTGCTCATCCCTCTCCCAAGCCTCTGCACCCGCCGCTGAAGATGCAGGACAACCGCCGGCACGCGCAGGACGCGCGGGGTCGCCTGGGGTCGGGACTCGAGGGAGAGGGGCAGGGAGGCGGCAGGAAGCGAGACGGGGCGGGACACAGTACCTGGTGTGGCTGTGGTTGCGGGGACAGTCCTTCTTCTCCATGATGGCCGGCACGCAGTTGGTGAGCTCCGTCCAGTCGGCGTGCAGCCCGCAGCTCCAGCCGGTGGAGAAGCGGGAGAAGAGCCAGGTCTCCTTCTTGCCGGGCCGGTGGCAGGTGCACTTCTTCTGGCCGGCTTTGCAGCTACACGGCTGCTCCAGCCGGATGTTCTTCACCAGGTGCCGGCCGAACGTGGTGCCCCCGGTCTTCTGGATGTGCAGAAACACGATCACGTCGCGCCCTTTGATGTTGAAATCCACGAAGCGGGTCAAGTCCTTCAGGGTGAAGTTGAAGCGCGGCACGAACCGGGGCAGGGAGCCGTTCTCGGGGGCCTCGGAGTCCGACTCCTCTTCCTCCTCCTCCTCCTCCTCCTCCTCCGGGTCCCCCGGCTCCTCGTCCTCGTCCTCTGGGGCCGCGGCCCCCCGAGGACCCTCGGGCGGCCTCCGGGGCGGCGGGGGCAGCTGGGGCCGCCGTTCCCACTCCTCCGGCGGCGCCTGTGCCCGGCGGGCGGGACCCGGGGCGGCGGGCGGGCCGGCCTCCCCCGCGCGGGGCTGCTCCCCGAAGTTGGTGCAGGAGCTGGTGCAGGAGGGGGACACGTACTGGTACATGATGACCACGAAGAGGAGAGTGAGCACCGGCGTCAGCAGCCACTTGTTGAACCTTTCATCCATGGTCCCGCTCTCAGGCCGGCAGGCGAAGCGGCGGCGGCGGCGGCAGCGGCGCGGACGGGCGCCCGCTCGGAAGTTTCGGGGACTCCGGGGCGCGGCTCGGAGCCCGCCGCTCCTCCATGCCCCTGACGCCGAGGCGTGCGGCTGGCTGGCGGCCCCGCGGCCCTCGGGGCTGCTGGAGTCGGGGCCTGCGAGCCGAGCGGGGGACGCGGGCGCCGGCCGCGCGGCTGCGGCTGCGGCGTGGGCGCCTGCGCTCCGGGGCGCCCTGCGCGGCCCGCTCCCTGCTCCCGCCCCGGCGCGGCGCTCTCAGGCGACCCGCAGCATCCCGCCGGCGGCTCGCAGGCGCTCAGGCTCTGGGGAGCGGGGTTCGGGTCCTGGACCTGCCCCGCGCAGCCGGGCAGCCGGGCAGCTGCGGCCGCGAGCGCAGGGGCTGCATGAGGCTCGCCAGGGCGCCGGCCAAGGGCGAAGGCGCGGCCCGGCCCCGCCGCCCCGGCTGACCGCGGCACGCGCCCGCACGCGCGCCGGCGCCTGTGCCGGCAGGTCTCGGCGCTCGGGAGCCGCGAGGGCGGACGCACCCGCGGCCGCAAGTTTGCAGAGCAGCCCCCGCGGCAGCGGCGGGCGAGGCGCCTCTGCGGAGCCGCCTCTCCGGCGAGTCGCACTGCTGCTCCGGGTCTGTCCGCCCAGGCGCAGACACGCAGACACACTCGCACACACAGGCTGGCACCGCCACAACCCGCCAGCCGGTGTGACAGGAGCCCTGCTACCCGCAGCAAAAACCTGCCCTAGGTACGGAGCATGCGCCAAAGCCTTCCCCAGCCCCGGAGGAGTTTCCAGGGGAGGAGTCCGCTGCTCCGCGGGGCTCGGAGGAGGCAGCTGGGGGTGGGAATCCCTTCAGCCTGGAGCGAGCACAGATTTGACAGAAAGGCTAAGGTGGATGGAGAAGAGGCCCGGAGGAAAGCGTCGCTGGAGCTGATCTGAGACCTCTACACTGGCGGGTTCTCAGTCTGACAGTGGCCGGAAACCTGGCCGGCCTTATTTACAGGAATAACACCTGCACACTGCTGGGAAGACTCACCTAGAGCAGACACCACTCGGGTTAGCTCTTCCCTCCGTGGCCGGACAAACTGGCTCCAGCCTGCTTTTAATTTCTACCCAAGACATTCTAACTGGTGCTCAAGTTTTACTCCAGTCCTTCCTTAACTACAAACTTGGTGTGCCCAACTATGCAACTTTATTCAACCAGCATCCATTCATCAATTATCCATTAGGCTCCTACCGTGTATCAGGCTCTATGTTCAACGCGCATTTCATTTCTTCCAGCACCAGACAGTCCAGGCCACAACCATGCAGTACTGAGAACATACAAGGAGTTTAGGGGTCACCAACTGAAATTCATTGTTCTGGTATGCATTGAGCTCGTAACATGTTCAAGACATTCCTTCCCACCAATGTGTAGAATAAGACCTACGCTTGCTTACCTGTATTTCATAAGCTAAGCCGTTGTTTGTGTGCAGACGTCTTAGGAGACTTTGTTTTTCAAACAGCTAGATTTTGCATTTTCCCCAGAATTAAATCTTTACTTAATAACAATTTCTGTTTTTCAGATAATGAATATATGTGTGGTCAAATTGGAGAAACTGCCCCACCACAATCCCTAGACCTGCTTGACCTATTTTCCAAGTGAAAGTGGCAGTGTGTGTGGAAAGTGGGGACCATGCAGTGTGATTCTCCGGCCCAGACCAAATGTGTCCCTCCTGGCTACCCTGCCAGTTGCAGTCCACCACACTCGGCATTCCACACCTTCATACGGCTCACCTTTCCACCTGGCCTCTTTATGAATCCATGAAGTACCTGTTTCTTCCTGAGACACTCTGCTAATCTCATCCATTTATCAGAGTGTGTCCTCTGTAGTCATCAGTTAAGATCTGGATCTCTTAAAAAAAAAAAAAAAAAAAAAAAGATCTGGATCTGTTTTAGGGATGCTAAAGGAAGTTGTTTTATTGTTCTAGACAGGTGGAATTCTTCTCAACAAAGCTTCCTCCCCTGCTTCCTTTCCTGTTTTCAGCTCTATAAACAACCACAAACCGTGCTCTTCTTGATACTGCAGGAGCCTATATTAGTAAGAAAGGTGTTAGGTAAGATGAATCAGCTTGTTTAAAGCTTATTTGATTCTGTTTCATTTCCTCTCCCTTAAGTTTAAAATCCTATTAATGGCATCACATTACACTTCAGAGCAAGAAATTGTGATAAAACAAAAACCCAATAAAAGTCAACAATTATTTCCTGAATGCATCTGGTTAACATATTTTTTATGTGTGTGTGTGTGTGTATCTTTGCTTTAGTTAAGTAAAAAATCATTATACCTTTTTATGTTACCTTATTTGAGAAGTTTCTCATTTCCTATAAAATTGCTTGATATCACATGGATAAATATAACCTCTTTAACTACCCAAATGGATAATCAGTGTGCTAGTGGTAATTTGTATAGTGGAAAGTGCTTTCCTAGCCATTATCTCATTTGCTTCTAAGAACAACACTCTAAGGAGATAAGAGAGGTATAATATCCCATTTCAAGATGAGGAAACTGAAACAAGGAAAGCTAGGTGAAAGCAAAGCCAGGATTAGAAACCGCTAACATCCCTGAAATACATTCACATCACCACTGAAGAAATCCAATGAACATCAACAACAGAGCCCAAAATTTCCTCTTTGCTCTCTTGAGACCCTTTGAATCAAGAGACAGGAAGAGACAACAGAATTGCAATAGGACAATTAAATTATTTTCCTTATCCCCCTGGCTTTATGGCAAAACTGAGCAATTGTACATCCTGCAGTATTTTGGCACCTAGTCTACAAGTTTCCAGAAACAGGAAAAAGACAGTAACAATCATTAAAGGATCATGTCATTGTTAAAGGAAATTTGGAGAATTTCAAAAGAAAACATTATAGCAAACAAATATAAGAACTATGAACTATGTTGCTAACAAAATGTATATTTCCATAAGTAAGTGCACCTTTAACACTTTGAAAGAACAGTATCCCAGAAAATCTGTTTTTGCTTTTGCTAAAATAGTTAATGGACTGAGACCATTTCCTTGAGGTAACCATGAGGAAAACAATGCATACAATCACAGCAATTACATAGATAATTTAGGCATGTGCCCAAGTGTTCCTTTGCAATGATAGGTAACTTTGGTTGTGTAAATACAATCTGTCCCAGGTGTGGTCTCCCTATTACAGTTGTGGAACTTAGTGTGAACCTAATCAAAGCTCTTAAATCACACAATAAGCAGGCTGCCTTATCTACAAGGGCAGACCTCACATTCCAGCAAAAATGAATAGAAACTTTCTAAAATTGAATGCTCTCCAGGTAAAAAGGAAAAACATATTTGCATTCAGCCTACTATAGTTACTCCACGATGACACCAGCTGGCAATTGTTTCTGGCTAACAGATTGCAGCTACTATGATTCCTACACAAATTATTAAAATAATAAAAATAATGTTTTCAAAGAGCTTTCTTCCACTTCCTTTGCCAGTCTAGCAATGAGCTTAACACTATCTGTGAAGCAATTTGTTCACCTAATTTTATGCCTTAATAAGCTTTACTACAATTATTTTCTTGCCTGATTCTTTCTCTGCCTTAACTTTAGTACACTTCCTCCCTGTTCTCAAATATTCTCAAACCTGTTAACAACATTGCACTCCCCTAGGATTCAAACTTTTGATTAGAACAGTCTCCATTTAATCAAGTTCAATTGGGAGATAAAATTGCATCTCAACTTCTCCATTTTCCCTTTGGTGCCAGAAAGTGCCTTTGAGAATATTGAGGAAACCCTGGAGAGATTAACAATCCAAACAATCACAGAGAATAGTTTTGGATCCTCTACATTTGCACAGAGAAATAGATAGATATGAATGCCCCCTTCAATATAGATGAAAACAAAATAGATAATGTAATTCATTGGCAGCATGAATCTCTACAAGAATAGAAAGTCCTCTTATACAGTAAAATGACTTTTTTTTTTTCATTTTTGTAAACAACCCTCCCCCTTACAAAAGCTCTTAGGGTAAGCAGTTTTGCAAATAACCACCAAAGTGGTAGCTTTCTTTTTCCTTTGGAAGTTAAGAGGAAGACTTTGTGTAGTTAGGGCAAACTGCAGAAAGAATTGTGATATATACTGAATATATTCCAGTTCACTACATGATTATAACTTTGGGGCAACCATGACCTTACATACCACTTCCCATAAAGTTCTATTTATAAGAACAGTTCATTCTTTGCTTTATTGTAAAACACTCTTCATTCACCCTAGATGACTGCCTACGGGGGATGAATGGAAACTGCTATCTGTATGCATAGCGTATATTCATTAACTCAGTATAGTCTAAGCAGATGTGGTTATCTTTTTGCAGCAGATATTCATTTCTTCACTAAGAACTTGTTGAGCACTTACTGTATATTGAGTATTGTTCTGAATGCTTTAGATTTACTATGAAACAAGACCAACAAGGCCCCTGCCCTCATGTATCTTACATTCTAACAATGGAAAAATAAACAATGAAGAAGTAAACAAGATTCATTCATTTAATCTGAAGATATATATTGAGCCCCTGCTATGTGTGAGATACTTTTAGGTGCTTGGGATACATTGGTGAACAATAAAGAATAATTTTTGCTCTCAAAGTTTAAATGGCAGCAGGATAAAACAGTAGGGAAGAAGTGAGAGATATAATGAGAGGAGGGTCACGTGGGGCCTTGTGGGCCATTGTAAGAATTCTACTTTAAGAGAAATGGGAGCCACTGGAGGATTTGAACAGTTTTAAAAGGGTCCTTTTGACTGTTTTGTTGAAAGTAGACTAAAAGAGGAAAAGAGCAGAAACAAGAAAACCAATTAAGTGGCTATTCCAGTAAATAGGTGAGAAATGATGGTAGCTCAGACCAAGACAAAAGTGCTTGCAGAGTAGGCAGTGGGAAGTGGTCAGACTGCCCGTGTTTCAGGACAGAGCCATCGGTGTTTCCTGGCAGATTGAATGTGGAATGTATGACGAAGAGAGAGGTCAAGGATGATGCCAAGGTTCAGGACCTAAGCAACTAGATGAATGGAGTTGCCATCAACTGGGATGTCAACTGAGGTCACGACAAGTGC